CGACTTTCCCCTCAATCTGAAGGGGCCTCATTTGCGTGCCCTGTTTCTCTTGCCCCAAAGCCCCCTCCCCAAAAAGGAAGGCAGCATCTGGATCCCAAGGAAGAGCAGAGCTGCAGACCTCCTGCGAACTGGCCCCCTCCCTGGCTTGGCAGAGTGGACAAGGGAGGACCCTTGACTTGGGGGTCTCCCCCCAGCATGCATGAACAGAGACCCCCATGCAGTATCCCTGCACCCCTGGGACCCCCTTCTCCCTATGGCACCCTCAGGGGGAAGAGAGAGGAGACTTGGCAGAGAGGAATTGGGGGCAGGACCCTCTGCTCCTTGCCTTGGGGATCTCTCTCCAATGCAGAACTGAACTGAAGGGTTCAGTCAGCCTGCTTATATAGAGCTGCTTATATAAAGTTGTTATGTAACTGTAACAACTTTCTGTAACTATCCAATCACTGAACATCACTTTCGACTCCTTATTTGCATATGTGGACCTGAGTAAAAACTATCTACAGTATCCCCCTGCTGGCCCAGGGTGAGAACTTCAGTACATAACACAACCTTTTCAAAGTTTTGATAAATGCTAGTTACAGGTAGCCGTGTTGGTCTGCCATAGTCAAAGCAAAATAAAAAAATCCTTCCAGTAGCACCTTAGAGACCAGCTAAGTTTGTTATTGGTATGAGCTTTCGTGTGCATGCACTCTAAGGCAGTGTTTCCCAACCTTTTTTGGGCAAAGGCACACTTGTTTCATGAAAAAAATCTCGAGGCACACCACCATGCCAGATGGGGAAAGGTCACTTTTTACTTATGTAAAAAAAAATAAAAAAAAAATAGTAACAGCATAGAAGGTAATGGTTAGGCTAGCATCCCTCTTCCAAATATGCTAGGTTTTCATTTGCAGGGACTGTTCTACATGGGAAAGCATTCAGCACTGTCATTCTCCCATCTGCCATCTGAATTGGTACTATTCTGGGTCAACTTACTCTGCTGCATGTGTAGATGAAAATGGCACCAAGTGTGGCGGAGGGGGCAGAACAGGTTTCAGATACAGGATATTAAGCATACACGTACTTCAGATTGAACTGGTTGCTTGCTTTGCAAGTTTTCATTTCCCAAATGACTGCCTTGGCAAGCGCAATACCTACCAGGCTCAACGCCGGTCTCGCGCTGCCGCTTCCCGCGCTCTCAAGGACCCGGGAGGAGGAAGGTGTGAAGGGAATCCCGAAGGCGCGAAAACCTCGCGCATGCGCAGGCCTTCCGCCTGCGACAGCCCAGTAGGCCGGCCGAAGCGAGCGGCGATGGGATGTGGGAGGGAGCTCGCTCGCCGCCCCGCGTGTGCCTATGTGGGGCACGTTACAGCCCCGTGACGTCAGCGCCACGCAGGCAGCCAGGCAGGCAGACGGCGAGAGCCCCGCGCTGGGCGGCCTCTCCTCGCCGCCGCCGCCCCGCCTCTCGCCGCCCGACTCGCCCGCCTCCCTCCCACGGCACACCAGGCAACGTCTCGCGGCACACTAGTGTGCCGCGGAACACCGGTTGGGAAACACTGCTCTAAGGTGCTACTGGAAGGAATTCATTCATTTATTTATTTTGAGAAATGCCGTTCTGCTTGTCCCAAGGATCACTGCTCAGGGGCCCCTTCTCACCCCACTTCCCTCCTTGAGGCAGTCCTGGTAGCGCCTCACCTGCTTCCAGATGTCAGGGGCCTCCTGCTCCTTCTGCCAACTGGGCCCTGGCCTTTTGCCCCAAAGTCTTGCCCTGGCGGCCCTCCTGCGCTGCCCCTCTGCCAAACTCTGCCGTCTGTCTTGCTGCCTCAATTGAGCTCCTCCCACTTTGGATCCCACTTGTCTGCTGGCCAAGCTGTTGCCCCAGTTTCCTGCTTGCAGGGAGGTAATTTTGCTTCTCCTTCACATTGGAGAGAGGGCAGTAAAAAGATGCTGCTGCAGCTACAGCGAAACAGTCCTTTCTCCCCTTCTCTCTTGTCGACATGGGAGCGGTTGTGGAATATAGATCTGAAGTCTACAGGAAGCTATGGTTTAAGGGGAAACTATATGAAAATGATGTGTAGATGTTATTTGATGGCATTCATGTTGATAATACTTCATAAGCAAATACTTTTGATAATAACACAATACACAAATAAAATTTAATGGGGCAAATCATTTAAAGAGATGAGCCCATAATCATGATTCATCTGAACCTGGAATTTCCCTAGGCTGTGATTGTACCTTTAGCTCTAGGCCTTCACATTTTGGGGGGAAATGAAGGCTTGCTGGATTATGCCCAATATCAGGGATTTGTAGATGAATTTCCTCCAGTTCTGGGCAGGTGCAGCTTGGACCTACTGAGCTAAGTGTCCCCTCCTGCTAATTACTCTTCAAAAGAAATAATAAGATTTGTAGGATTCCAAGTCGGGAGGATGACTCCTCACAGGTTCACCATGCATGATGCAACTTCCACAGCAAGGAACACCCCGGGGAACAGATAATCCTCCCCATCATTAGCAGAATTGCTGGTTTCCATCCTGAAAAACACAAAGTGCTTCCAGAGCTCTTCAGCTACATCAACAATCAACATCTGAAGTTATAAAGATCTCACATTATTTAGAACTAGATTTGGGTCTAGGCAGGACTCTATCATTCCTGTTATGATCATTTCCCCTCTGTCTGTTAGGGCATTCGTCTTTGGCCACTGGAAAATCGGACCTCATTCTATGGCTCTTAATTAACACACTGCTTCATCACAATTGACCTCCCTTTCTTTTGGACAAACTGATTTGCAAGGTTGCACCATTTCCCCCTCTTTATACACCAGTGCTGTGATAACCGTTGCTCTGTATGAGGATTTTTAAAACAAAAAGAATTATTTTAGATGTTGTTGAGGTCAGTCCTGATGAACGTGGTGTGTGATGCTGCAGAGGCAAAGATGGGAGGCTGCGTTTCATGGCTCTGTTCTTCCAACAGAATCATGCTGGTTGCAGTGCTTCTCCTTGTCCTGCTGTGTCATGTTGTGGGCCAGAAACATTCCGTTAATTGTAGCATACAAGATGATCCCCTCCCGATCCCTCATGAATTTTACCATCCTGGAGACCTGGTCATTGGAGAGATTGTTTCTCAGGTCTTCTTCCTCCATAATCTCCTCTCGTTCCTGAAACAGCCGACACAGATTGTGATTAATGAGCCAATGTAAGACACTATCTCTCCATCTCACTCATGCCGCTTATGTATTAAGTTCCAAGTATAGTTACTGAGAATTTATATTTAAGGAGCAATTGTGTTTGTTCATTTCTGGCGTGAGAAAAGAGGCATCTACAGCACATTGGTGGTACAAAACATTCCTAGTTTTCTCTCAAAAGTGTTCTTGAAATGTATGGAAGTTGTGCACTGTATTGGAATTAGGTTGGTGATTGTGCTGGGAACTTGAGGCATTCTGCTCAAGAGAAATGAGCAAAAGCTGAAATAATAGTGGGAACAAAGGGGCAGTGGAAATCCCCCCCAAAATGCACAATGAAGGTGGCTTATCAAAGGTTATGGTTAGCTACTACATAAAGGTGAGTCAAGCTGGGAGCAAACAGGTCATCAAGCTGCATATGTGACAGTATAAAACCATATGTGTAGCTGCAGCCCCTGTAGTCTCTTGTCTGCGCCATGAGATGGATGAGCCACCATTCTTGCATGAGAATAAAGCCTTTTTGCTTTGCTACCCATTACCTGGTGATAGTCTCTGCTACACAACAAACCTCAACGTGGCTGAGTCCCACAAGAGCACTTCCACCAGCCTTGCACAGAATATCTACATGGAGGGTTTTGCTCCTTCAGTGAAGACAGGAGTGAGGAAGCATAACTAAATCTGGGTGATATTAAAGCTAGTTATTCCCTCCCTCTGTCAAACATTTTATTGCTTTAAGTACACTGGAGATGAACCAGCAATCAAATATGAGGAGAGTATGTGTTGGCTAGATGCCTTTGGAAGTATAGTCTGGACCCCTCGTCTTGTTCATTTAAACATATATAAATAGGCACAGGCAAAATACTGTGTTCATGCACGGGTGTGTGTGTGATTTTAAAAGCTGGTCCTAAAACATAATACACTAGCTGTTATTACAAGGCTTTCAGTTTGATTTTCTTCTTGCTTTCTTTCATTTTGTCACCAAGTAGAAAATGCTCTTCAGCTGCATTAATATATCCAGATATTAAATAATCCATTATTAGTTACGTGATGCAATTTTATCTTAGTTATCGTTCGATTGTGTCTATTATTATAGAGATTTTCAGTAATTACTGCATAGAATGAAATAACGAGATTGTCAGCGGAGAGTTGGTGAAAGGGTCTCAGTCTATAGCACTTCTCTTCTTTGAGTTTCCTTTTAAAATACTAGGAAACAGGTCATCCCCAAAACACAGTACTAAACTGGAACCCGGGAAGGAAATAATGATCAAATGGGGGGGGGGACCTGGGAAAGTGTGTGCCCATGTTGATATGAGAAAAGTTGTTGTTGTTGTTTAGTCGTTTAGTTGTGTCCGACTCTTTGTGACCCCATGGACCAGAGCACGCCAGGCACCCCTGTCTCCTGTCTCCCCCCTCCTGTTAGGATGGGGGAATCACATAGGTTCTTTCTAGGTATGAATTTAAGGGAAACTTGTGCTAAGCTAATGGTGCAATGGATTATAACAATAATAAATAGGAATTAAAGTGATTTTGGGAAATGCCAATAAAAGAATGAAAATTGTAATCATGTGGTTGATTAGCAAGATGAATAAAGAAAGAAAATGGGAGAAAGGTTAGGTATATAAAACTCAAGGGAAAAAGGCAGGTTATACATTTAATAACTAATGAATAAACATACTGATCCAGTAGAAATAAGATTAAAACTATACAAAATATTTCATGTACATTGTGAGAACATGTAAAGAAAATCTTAACTTTACACTCAGTTGATTGGCAAAGGGAATGACTCAACTGAGGTTCAAACTGCAAGTCAATCTTGGAAACAAGCAGATGAGAGAAGAAGAGGATGGATGTCCTTTGGTTGCTTCTGTTACTGTTGTTTATTAGCAGCTTTAACAACTGTAATTTCCATGACAGTTCGGTGCCAAAGAACTACCAGCACATCCTGGCCTTGGCATTTGCTGTCCAAGAGATCAATGAAAACCCCGACATTTTATCCAACGTCTCTCTGGGATTTCACATCCTCAACAGCTACTACACTGCCAGGATGACCTATAAGGCCAGCCTCAGCCTCTTTTCTGCACAAGGGAGGTTTGTCCCCAACTTCCAGGGTCACAACCAGAAGAAAGTGATAGCTCTGATCGGAGGATGCATCTCCGAAATCTCTGCAAATGTGGCCGTCATTTCAGCAATGTACAAGACTCCACAGGTAAGCCTGTTCATGAGAGAATAGAGAGAACACATCATGGTGGGATCGTCATGATTTCAGAAAAATTGCCTGTTATCCTTTGGATAAATGCAGGTTTAATGATACTGCTATCAGGTTTATTGACAGTTCATTGGCAAACTGTGCAGATCAACAGGTTTTAAGGAGGGCTTTGTCCTTTCCCTGATCTTGTTCAATCTTTTCATCCATGACTTTGATCACTAGTTGGGAGCTGTATCTGTGAACATTGTCTGACATAGACAATGGGGTGACGTCCTCGGAGGAAAAGATGTGGGGCCTGCAGAGGAGCTCAGAAGACCTGAGGATCTGGAGGAACCAGTCCTGTCCCAAGGCCACCTGAAGTGCCTCTTGACAGATAGGATTCACCTGATCTACCTCATAGCCTTTCTCACGATCTGAAAGTCCTGCTTTCATCCCTGATTCCCCCTGAAGACTGAGGGTGGCAGATCGGGATGGTGACAAAATGTGTTAAAAGTGAGCAGAAGAGGGAGCTGGAATCAAGCTTGCATGTTTGCACACAAAGCCATCTGACACCTTACTTGCATGAGCCTAAATGTCTACCAGCTCTCTGTGGTTTGCCTGGCATATTTAGGTGATGATTTGTTAATACCCTGTGTCCTCCATTGGCATTAAACAACAGGTTTACAGAATGCGCACAAAAAACCCCCTTTTCTTAATTTGTTGCCTGGATCCACCCCTTTGACATGATTCTTGATTCCTGTAGATCTTCTGTTACAGATGATGGCAGCATATGACCGCCTGAAGCAAAACCCCAGGAGTCTTTAAATACTTCAGATATTTTAATGACTGCCACACAGCAGAGACCCCCTTTTCTACAGTCCCAGAAGTAAGGACTATCACGGGAGAAAGAGTACTCAAACCGAGCAATGCAATTACTTGCAGATGGAGTTATTCTGATATTCCACAGATAAAATGGCATACAAGCCATTAGATTCATGTAACATCACTTTTGAATAATACTTATGCATTTTATTTCAGCTCACTTATGGATCATTTTTGCCAATACAACACGCCAACACTTTATTCCCCTTTTTGTACCAGATGGTCCCAAAGGAAGCCCACCAAAGCACAGGAGTTGTGATATTACTTCAGCATTTTGGGTGGACATGGATTGGGCTTGTTGCTGTGGATGATGACAAAGGGGACCGGTTTTTACAGACAATGGTTCCAATGCTTGATGAAAATGGCATCTGTTACGCCTTCATCATGAGAATCCCAAAATGGAATTATGTGGATGAGATTATAGAATACGTTTCACAACGTGTAGAACACTATGTGACTGTCTTCAAGGAGAAAGCCAACGTGTTTTTTGTATATGGAGAACCACCATCCTTTCAGGCTTTGAGAGTGCTGTTCTTTGTAGCACCATTCATAGAACTGCCACCTCTTGGAAAAGTCTGGATTGTTACATCTCACTGGGATTTTGCATCATTCTCTATTCAAAAGAACTGGGATTTACAAACCTTCCATGGGTCCATATCTTTCACAGTTCACTCAAATCAGCCTGAGGGTTTCCAGAAGTTCCTTCAGATGGTAAGACCTTCGTGGTTCAAAAGAGATGGCTTTATTCAAGACTTCTGGGAACAGGCTTTTGACTGTTTGCTAACAACGTCCAAGGAGTGGGAAGGAGAGGAGAATAAAACCTGCACTGGGGAAGAGAATCTGGAGAGTCTTCCTGGAGGTTTGTTTGAAATGAAAATGACTGGCCACAGCTACAATGTCTACAATGCTATCTATGCTGTGGCACATGCTCTGAATGCTATATTCAAATCCAAATCCATGAATAGAAGATTGGAAGAAGGACGAAAAATGGCATTTCAGAATGCGGAACCATGGCAGGTAATAAAATTAAAGAAACTTAAATTGAGATTTACTATAACTATGTTTAAGGTGTGGATACCCAGAGCGGTACTGTCAGCCCCAGAGCCATCACCCCTCCAGTTCCCTTCATGATCTCATGCAGCCTGTTCTTGTTGTAAAAGATGGGATGATGCCTGAATTGGAAACCAAGTTATAAAGGCCAGTGTGATCAATGTGGGAACAATTTATAATCTTAGGTGCAGAGTGTGCTAGAGGGATGGTCTCACCAATCTATAGAAGGTTCGTTGAACACAAAGTTGTTAGCAAACTGAGTTGTAAGTTGACCTGGGAGCAGGACCCTGGGGGTGCTATCGATGAGGCATGTGGGAGCAGTTTTCTTTTGGTTTCTTTTAGCAGATCCACTTGGATAAGCAATGGCAGTCTAGTGAATTGTTTGTAAGTCATAATCTGCCACCCATGTGGAGGCAGGGAAAGGAAAAGAACTATCAAATGATCCCACATCATGTACAATTCAAGAGTAGGACATGACAGTCCGATGGATGAAGCCCCCACCTATGCTAGGTGTGGGGAACGCCCAGCTCTCCATGTGTTGCTGAATTGCAACACAATCAATTGTGGCTTATAGAAGTTGTAGTTCAGCAACATCTGAGGGCCCAGAGGTTTCTGCACCTCTGACACCTGCTGTTTAAAAAAACTCCTGCCTTTGTGCCTTTGTGAAATGGTTGTCCTTTTTTCTTGTTATCCTTCAATCCAGGTCCATCGTTTTCTACGGAGCATCGTTTTCAACAACACTGCTGGAGATCATGTGCACTTCAATGAAAATGCAGAATTAGTTGTAGGTTTTGATGTTACAAACTGGAGGATTTACCCCAATGGTTCAGTGATTAGAGCCAAAGTTGGAAAACTGAACCCTCAGGCTCCTTTCGGCAAAGAGTTAACCATTCATGATGATCAGATTGCGTGGCATAAAAGCTTTAATCAGGTGAGACATAGCTGTGTGTGAGACCAGAAACTGCCATGAACATCAACCTTGGGTCCCAAAGGTTGTTGGACTACAACTCCCATCATCACCAGGCAGGTTAGCCAATAATCAAGGAGGACGGGAGGTGTAATAAAATGCATCAGTATCTGGGAGCTGAAGCCTGAAGGACAAGTTTTGAGATCAGCTTCAAAAATTTTGAAAATTCCTTATTGTGTTCCAGATTTAATTTTGGTAAAATCCCACATAATCTTTTTTTTTAATTGCTTGATTTCTGGTGTGGGGTATCCAGAGAGAATGTCCATTTGCTGGATATTTCCATTTTCTGGGCATGATGCTAGTCAGCCATTTTCCATATTCACTCATGGCCATGCTGAAGTCTATCTCCTTATTAAGAAAGCCAGTTAAACCAGGAGCTCAGAATCTTTTTCAGTCCTTTGCCCCCACTCTCTCAGGGGACACCATCCAGGGATCATATGCCAGTGGTGGGTGGGGAAGAGGCAGTGGCGTAGCGTGGGTTGTCAGCACCCGGGGCAAGGCAAGTAATTTGCGCCCCCTAACCCGTGGATTTGCGCCCCCTAACCCTAACCCCCAGATGTTGCGCCCGGTGCGGCCGGCCCCCCCTGCACCCCCCACACTACGCCACTGGGAAGAGGGAAGTGACTGCACCCAAAGAGGGTGAAGCAGCAGGCATGACTCTGGCCTGTGTGGAATAGGCTACATTCCAGCGATTCCAAACACAGAGGCTTCTGGATACATCCCAGTAGTTCTCTCTATTCTCCACAGAGGCAAGCAAGATGGACGATCGCTGTTCAGGGCCACATTCTAGCCAAGCAGAAGAGCTTGAGGAGGCGCAGAGCAGGGCTGGTGGGGGGAACATGGAAAGCATGACTTGGCATGAAACCTGAGGCATGAAGAGAAGCACCTACACAGCCACATCCCCCCGCCTCCCATCCTGGCATTTTCTCACCAGGAATGATTATTATTGGTTACATTTCTATACTGCCCTTCCTTGGAAATACCAAAGTAACAAGCAAAAACAATACCCTCCTGGCCCAACCCAACCCAAAGTGAGTAAGATACAGAGGAATCTGCCCATCTTTAATTCTCATTAGGTGTCAATAAAATGACTTTTCTAAGCTTTGGGCCTTATCAATTCAGTTGAATTTGTTCTGTTTAAACCCTCTCTGGACAGAAGCAACATGGTTCAATTGAGGAGTATTTCCCTATTACCAAAAATATTTTTATTATTGTAAAAAACCCAAAAACCTACCCCTTTCCTCAAATTCCCCTAGTATAGATGCAAAACGTGGACTGACTGCTTTGGAAGGTAGAATTACTCCTCTGCACCATCTTCATCAGATCAAGGGGCCTCTGGGTACCAAAGCATCTGAGCCCCACAGAGCCACCAAGGGATTCTGTTCAGGGATGCTGAGGGGTGGTGAGAAAGGCTATATCTGTCCAAAGCCCAGATGATGTGTGGGCCCATGACTTCCTGGTTGTCTCTCATGGTTCTGGGCTCACAGCTGCCAGGCTCCATGAGCATCTGCTATCTATAGGCCATTGACTCCTTAACCGGCTAGGAAGACAAAGGCAGGAATACTGGAGAATAATGTGATGGAGAGAGGATGGCAGTCCTTCACATTTCACTCTGGGGTGGCATTTGTTCAGTGCACAGGTAGCAGCTGAGCTACGACATTGGAAAGAGGCAGAGAATATGATTCGCCTCCATAAACCTCTCTGCAATGCTTTATTCAGATCAGCCCAGGCTTCCTTCTGAAGCCAGCTAGGACTCCACATCCTTGGGATTCAGCATGCCACTACCTTTCATTCTTAGGGCAGGCCAGCCCTCTTCAGGCGTTCGCTCCTGACACAAGTGGCGTGATCTGACAGGGGGAGCGGTTGACTGTCGCCTCTCCATCAGGACCATCCCTGTTTCCCTCCGGGTGTTGAGCTCTGAATGCAGGGTCCTAAAACTGTTCTGAAAATGGATTATTGTAGAGGACACTCCCTGCTACAGATATCCAGCCCTCAACATGTGGAGGAAAGCTGGAACAGCTGACTGCTCCATGCTGACTATCCTCAGCACATAATCCTAATCATGCGACATTCGAATGACGGATAATATGCTCTTGCTAATCTTCCTTTCTTGTTTTGGTGCAGATGCTGCCAGTTTCTGTGTGCAATGACAACTGCTATCCTGGCTACAGCAGGAAAAAGAAAGAGGGAGAGAAATTCTGCTGCTATGATTGTGTTCCATGTCCAGAAGGGACCATCTCTAACCAGAAGGGTAGGAGCAGTGCTTTTTTCCTAGAAAAATAGGTGACGGTACTAAACATGAAGTTGTTGCAATATGTGCCACACTTTTTAACAATAGCTGAAAGAGGTGCCGGCACTGCGTACCCTTCAGTACCCCCTGAAAAAAAAGTACTGGGTAGGAGGCAATATGTGCAGAGAAATAATGCTGCGTATTTAATATGACTTGTTTGCTATTTCCTCCTTTGAAAATAGTGTATTCCTTTAAATATATTTTGCAATACATATTTTAAAGAGCATCAAACAAGTAACATTCTTTTCTCCAATAGTTTCAAAAAGAGAGCACTGTGACCTTATGTCAGTTACTGTCTCTCAGTCTAAACACCTTAAATGGGTCTTGAGGATCAAATGAGGGAAATAATATATGCAGAATAAAATGTAACACTATATATATTTTACTTTAAAAAATAAAACAAAGGTATCTTTAGAAGCACACACATCAGCAATGTCATTTGTCAAATGACTGAGCATTTCCAAAAGGCCAAGAGACTTCCAAAGCTAAGGAGCATTGGAGTCCTCAAGGCACAAACAGATTTGGGTGGCTAGAGGAGCCTATTCCTACTCTTGGTATTTCTAGATCTAGATGGGTGGGTTGCATCCAGACTAAGTTGGTTGTGCTTGGTTCCCAATGAGAACAATGGGAATAAATTCAATTCATCTGTAGATTTTCGCATTAATTTCAGCTCCACCTATCTTTATTGCACAATTTGTCCTGTCTTCTTTCTTTAATGAAATTCAAGAAAATGGACATGGTGCTGTCATGTGGTCCATGCCTTAGGAATAAAATGTACCAGAACTGCAAAGAACACATTTAACAAATTATACTTGGCAATCGAAAATAATTTGTGAGTGTTTACCCCAATAAATCATAGGAAAATCCTGGAAGAGAGTTTATGATGCTAGTTCCCACCTTCCATGGCCATGGGTCTGGGGTGTGTAGGTCTTCTTTGAAGTCCATTAAATATTTCTACCATTTCCTTAATCTCCCTGGTTGCTTTCCATTCCTTGTTTTGTCACATCTTCTCCTGGCTTTAACTGAAGTTTGAATACTAAGTGCTTGAAAATGTTGAAAATGTTAACAGGCTGTATGCTAAAAACAAGTTCTTCCTTTTACCTTAAGAAATGTATTTCAGCTCTGGTTTCTTTGGAAGTAAAAATATTTGAGTCAAAATGAACAGCTGTCAGGTGAATGATAGGGTATCTCAAATAAAGCTCAGCTGAGGGTATCATGGGTATTCAGGAAGCATGGGTGTGTGGGAAGGGTTGTAGAATAAAGGAAAGTACATCTAAAAACCCCAGCAACCAGAAAAATAAATAAGTGCAACAAAAGCTCTGCACAACACCTACAGAAATTTCACCAAACTTTCCTTTCCCCTTTGGAATACAGATTAATTTATGGATACTTTCAACAACAGGAACAGCCACAAAATAATAATAATAATAATAATAATAATAATAATAATAATAATAATAATAATAATAAAGTATTGGACTAGGACAACAGCCTAGTGTATTCATGGTTTTCAATTAGAGCAGAATTTACTATCTCACGGAAAAACAATCTAGTAGACCAGTTCAGCATCATGCAAACTTTCTCACTGAAATCATAAGTGTCCTATGTGGTTCAGTTGGTCAATGAAGGCTGCTCCTCTTCCCAGAGGCAGGCCTTGTGTACTCCCCATGAACAGCGGGGGGCATGGCAAAGCCGCCCGCATCACTGGGAGTCCCGGCTGCGTCGCACACCCCGGCCGACCAATCCAGTCGACCGGGGGGCATGAACCACCGCTTGGCCGGGGGACTCCCTCTCCTTACCTCCTCTTTCGTCGGATCTCCCGCCCTCCCGCCCTATTTTCATGCGTTCACCATTTGGCCCTGCTATGGACCATGGTTGGTCGCCTGTTGAGGGAGCCAGGTAGGAATTTTTCCACTTGGTGAATTGGCACCTGCCATGTGGTTTTTGCCTGCCTCGTAGCAATTGTCACAACTTTGTAAGGTTTGGCAGTTAGGCATTGGTAAAACCTGCCCCTCCTATTTAAGGGTATTCTGTTAAAGGGATCCGGGGGTGTGGATCTTATCCGAAGCCCAGGTAGATGCTAGGGCCTTGCCTCAACCCCAACGGGAACCCTGGGGGAGCTCATAGCGGATGCACATCAACAGGGCTCCCCTACTGGTGGTTGACCCTTACAAGACTTCCTGCTTGGCGGGCAGGAGTCAGATATAGTCAGTTCAGTTCCAATGCCAGCCAATACTGCTCACATCTGTAACCAATAAAGTTGTGGCCTTAATTATCCCATCAACCCAAAATATTGGTGTCTGTGTGTTTTATTATACAAGAAATGGGGGAGGGCTTGGGGCCGTGACATGCAACTGCATGGACACAAAGAGCACTTTCATTTCTTTTTAAAATAAGACTTTATCAAAGCTTTATCAAAGTGGGGGCCCTTCTAGCTCTCACCTGGGAGCTTTCGTTTCCCCAATCCCTCATCCTGGGAGGTTTCCCCTTCCCTGCCTCTCACTCAGGATCCTCCCACCATCCATCTGCCCCCCATGTGCTCACAATCCCCCAACAACAGCCCAGAGCAAAGGAAACCAAAAGGAAAGGAAAGGGGGAAAGGAGATGAAGGAGAGGAATTTCACTGGCTGCCGTAACTGATTCTTTCAGGAGATGTACATAGGTCATCATCTTGACATTTCTGATTGTTCCTCCACCCTCCAGATATGGATGCCTGTGTCAAGTGTGCAGAAGAAAACTACCCAAACCAGGACCAAACAGGGTGTGTTCCAAGGGGGCTGAGCTACCTCTCCTACCAAGAAAAGTTAGGGCTCAGCTTAGCTGTCTCCGCTCTGGCTTTCTCCCTGATCACCACCTTTGTGCTGGCGACTTTCGTTAAGCACAAGGACACTCCCATCGTCAAAGCCAACAACCGCAGCCTCACCTACCTCCTCCTCCTCTCCCTCCTTCTCTGCTTCCTCTGCTCCTTGCTCTTCATTGGTCAGCCTGGAAAAGGGACCTGCCTCTTCCGACAAATGACTTTCAGCATCGTCTTCTCAGTGGCCCTTTCCAGTATTCTGGCCAAAACCATCACCGTGGTTCTAGCATTCATGGCAACCAAGCCCGGATCCAGAATGAGGAGATGGGTGGGGAAGGGGCTGGCCAATTGCGTGGTCTTTTCCTGCTCTTTCCTTCAAGCTGGCATTTGCACCCTTTGGCTAAGTGCTTCCCCTCCATTCCCAGATACAGACATGCAGTCACTGAAGAGTGAGATCATCCTGGAGTGCAATGAGGGTTCAGCTGCCATGTTCTATTGTGCTTTGGGTTATATGGGTTTTCTGGCCGTTGTGAGTTTCCTTGTCGCTTTCCTGGCCAGAAAGTTACCTGACAGTTTTAATGAGGCCAAATTTATCACGTTTAGCATGTTGGTTTTCTGCAGTGTTTGGCTGACCTTTGTTCCAACCTACCTGAGCACCAAAGGGAAATACATGGTAGCTGTGGAGGTCTTCTCCATCTTGTCCTCCAGTGCTGGGTTACTGGGTTGCATCTTTTTCCCTAAATGCTACATCATTGTGCTGAGGTCTGACCTGAACAACAAGGAAAGCCTAATAAGGGGAAGAAAATAATTTTTGTTTGTTTGTTTTTTGTTTCTCTCTGTGTGTGTGTCCATATCTTAGAGCTTGAGTAGTCCTGGGCTATCATTCACTCTGACCTCTGATCTTGATCTTTGAATAAATTTGTGTCTCATCAGTTTCCTCTGTGCTGGTTTCTTATTCTTGACCACCTCCAGACTGGGGAACTATTTTCTGGATCATGATCATGATCATGATGTGGATGCAGTGCAGGGCAAATCAGGTTTGGGTCAGTTTGGACCCTATAGAGTCTGATCCAGATTTATAAATCAGGGCCAGAAACTATACATAACTGCCAAAAACATAGATTGATCAAAAAATATTTGAGGGGTCCAGGCTCGCTCAGGTCAATGGGCACTGCCATTCAAATGGTGTTAGTGCACCACATCTTGTGATCAGTTATGTGGGGGTGGGGCTTATCTGCCCCCCCATATTTTATTCAAGTTGGCACCTCTGGAATTTAGAGTGTGATGCAGGCAACAAATTTAGTAGTAACTGCAACCTCTCTCTAGGACACAAGTGGCCTTCAACTTCCTCATCAAGTGCCACTGAGTACATATATCTCAAAGAAGAAAATTGTTGTAGGGTTCAAAAAGGAAAAGAAAAGAAAAACTCTAGTCATTCATTATGCAACTTCAAATGACATCAGCACACAAGGGAAATTATAATAACACCTATCCATGCCAAAATGGCTAGTTTATATATTCTTGTGCATTTTGCAAACAAATGTCATAAACCATCAGAATTGGAAAAAGAAAATCCCTTATGGGCTCCATGGGAGGCACTGATGACACCCTGGGTGTCTGCAGCCACCACTTGGGTGCCCATAGCTTTAAGCTCAGACTTTTGACAGTGTGTGTGTACAACTCACCTGGGAACTTTATGGAGAAAGCTGGGTAAAGATGATGATGATGTTGGTGTATGCCAAGTGTGTGAGAGCCACGTGTGATAATTTATCTCTAGTCAGGGACAAAGCAGCCTTCCTAGCTAATTGCAACCAACTGCATTTCATTCAAGGAAGAAAAAATAGTTGTAGAGTTCAGGTAGGAAAAACCCTACTACTTCAATCGCTCATGATGCAATTTCAAGGAACATCAACACTCAGGGGAAATTACCGTTATACCTCTCATTGTCAAAATTACTGGTTTCCATCCTCGTACACAATGTGTGTCATTGGCAAGACCATCAGTCAGAATCTGAACAAGAAAGAAAGATATAAAACCCTTGTGTTGTTGACCAGTGGATCTGGACACAGGTAGGGCTCTGTCATTCACCTGCATCATCACTTTCCCTGTGCAGGTTAGGGTCTGCTTCCCACCAGATGATTCTGCCGTGATTTTAACCCCCAAAGTATACGCTGTTCTTCATCATTTTTACATACCTGGCACTCAGCAGGTTTTTTGGGGGGGGGAGGGGGAGTGAAGGGAGAAATAGAACACCCTCTTCAGGAACACTGATGATCACAGAGCCATTACTAAATACAAAGACCAGGCTATAGTTCATGCAGTCCCTAAAATGCCAGGCTCTGGTGTAAATCAGTGTAGCACCACCATTTGGCACCATTCAAGGGAGTTTGTAGCAAAACAGATAAGAAGATTGAGGCAAAACATGACAGTCTATGTTGGGAGGGAAAGTGTTTTCCACAGGATTGTGTTGGTTATGGTGTTTCTGCTGTTACTGCTTTGTCATACGGTGTGCAAGACACATTCTATTGACTGCAGCATCTTTGATGATCCTCTTCCTATTCCTCATAATTTTTACCAGCCGGGCGACCTGGTCATTGGGGGAATTGTTTCTCAGGTCTTTTTCCTCTACAGTAACCTCTCTTTCACAGAACAGCCTACACAGATAATGATTGATGAACATTAGGCATTATTTCATTTACCGGTAATCAGGAATTTCCTGGTGTACAGAGAATCAATCAGTCCACCAGCTCAAGTTAAAAACATCAAGAAGTTTTTAAAGAGTATTTTTTTAAAACACTCTTTCATTGGCTGCTACAACAGATTCCATTTGATGGATGTTTGTCAATATCTTGAAGTATTAAAATTGTTTTTTCTCTTTTTCAGATGTGGATGTTTGTGCCAATTGTCCTGATGACAAGTATGCAAACAAGGGTCAAACTCAGTGCATTCCCAGTGTTCCAAGTTTCCTCTCTTACAAAGAAACTTTAGGATTCGTTTTAGCTATCTTTGCCATTTCTTTCTCTTTAATCACTCTTTTAGTACTTAGAACTTTTGTGAAGCACAAGGACACTCCCATCGTCAAAGCCAACAACCGCAGCCTCACCTACCTCCTCCTTATCTCCCTCCTTCTCTGCTTCCTCTGCTCCTTCCTCTTCATTGGCCAGCCCGGAAAGGTGGTCTGCCTTCTCCAACAAGCAGCCTTTGGCATCATTTTCTCGGTGGCCATTTCCAGCATTTTGGCCAAAACCATCACTGTGGTTCTAGCATTCGTGGCAACGGAACCAGGATCCAGGGTGAGAAGATGGGTAGGGAAAGGGCCGGCCAATGCTCTTGTCCTTTCCTGCACCTCCATTCAAACCGGAATTTGTGCTCTGTGGTTAAGCACTTCCCCTCCATTCCCAGATAGGGACACACATTCATTGAAAGGGAAAATCATCCTGCAATGTAATGAGGGATCAGTTACCATGTTTTACTGTGTCTTGGGCTCTATGAGCTGCCTAGCCTTTGTCAGCTTCTTTGTGGCTTTCCTAGCCAGGAGGTTGCCAGATAGTTTCAATGAAGCCAAGTTCATCACCTTCAGCATGTTGGCATTTTGCAGTGTTTGGTTATCATTTCTCCCAACTTACCTAAGCACCAAAGGGAAATACATGGTGGCTGTGGAGATCTTCTCCAGCTTATCATCCGGTGCTGGATTACTGGGTTGCATCTTTTCTCCAAAATGCTACATCATTCTGCTGAGGCCTGAGCTGAACGACAGGGAGCAGCTCATAAGAAAAGCAAAATGAAAGAGTATGGCCATCTCTTCATTGTGCATCTAGACAAATGCTGATGATGAAGATCTCGAGAAAATTTGGCTATGTGTATTTGCTTAGGGAAACTCCTGTCAGCGTGGTTCTTGACTCAGTCAATGTGCCACAAATACCCCCATTCCTACTTCTATGTTGGCGGTTTCTAGAGAGATTGGAATAGGACCCAAAGCTGATTCTTCTATTCAGGGTTTCCTCATCCTCATAATGCTCAATTCATGTTGGGAATAAATTAGGAGTGAAAGGCATCTCAAATCCTGTTACTCAGGCTTTCTCATCTCAAACCAACCATGCATCCTGCCATAAAACTATAAAATCTTAAGACATAAAGACATAAAATCTCGGTTTCGTGAACATCAATTACACGCAATAAAACCACAGTCACAGTGAAGTCATTAACTACACATATTTTGAATTGCCAGTTGAAGTCAATTAGGTATTTTTGCCAATTCAGCGGAAATCAGCCCAGATACCATTTTACTGCCTGTACTTTTCCTGTACTTCTGACCATAAAAGGATATTCCTGTTCCTACTCCTATCTTGGAGCAACCCCATAGTTGCCTTTACTGAACTTAACCTCCCAGGGGTCCTTTACTTTTACCCTTTTTTAAGGAGGGTATATGACAACGTGGTGGATTTTGCCCTTTTTAACACCCCTCCCAATTGTTCTGTTCTTTCCACATTTTGGAATCCTTGTCCTCCTTCTCCCTCCTCCAAATTTTCCAGTTTTATTGTCTTTTCAATATTCCATTCCAAGTTATCACATATAGAGGATACTACCAATCTTTATAGGAAGAATGAATCAGAATAATTTGGATTTGAATAACCCTTGGCTTTTTTCCCCTACCAGAATTTTGGAGATCAGACAAAAGTTTAGGGAAAGTTGTAGCAGATGCAATAATATATATTACATTTTATATTTGGATTTTTTAAAAAATTAAGTATTGTATATGTGATGGATTCCTGCATTCACTTTGAATATTGTGACTCACACAGGTACAATTTATGGTGATGAGTGGGAGATAAATGCTGCACACACATTTGCCAATACTAATCAAGTCCACACTCAACGCCCCCCCCCCCCCCGCAATAAAAATATATCACAGTTTGATCTTCTTCTTTTAAGAATGCGTATAGGTCCTTGAGCACCAGACCCATCTCAGGAGAATGGCTTTCAAAGCAGCCAAGTTTGTGGGAACTTCTGAGCATCCCCTTTGCAGCTCCATAAATCTTCTCTAATTTCATGAACTTATGGAAGTTGTCTTTATATCTGAATTATGGTATCTCAGATTTCAGTTATAAAAATGACTTTTTACCTGTAAAAGGTTTTAAATAAGACTGTACTGAGTAAAATGACAAGAATTTCCATCTGTTCATTTGGGTTCATTCTGCAAAGGTCCGGCAGATTTTGTCAGGACCAACCAAGGGTGTTTGGCCAATTGAGGAAAACAAAATGCCGCCCTCCTGCCACCCCCCCCCCAGTTGTGAAGGTTGTGGGGTAGGAAAAGGAGGCTGCGGCAGGTGGGCCTGGGTGAGGCTGCAGCTGCCGCCTGATGCCACCGCCTCCTCCTACCACATGGGTGGGCCAGCCCATAGTTTTCTACTTGTTGTTGTTGTTTAATCATTTAGTCGTGTCCGACTCTTCATGACCCCATGGACCAGAGCACACCAGGCACTCCTGTCTTCAGTTTTCTACTTACCCTCATTTAATTCCATTGTTTAAGCCAAAGGTGGTAATTCCATTAACTGCTTGGAATAGTTTATGAAGCAACTGGAATGATCCAAAAAATGTTTCTTTCATGTATTACATTTATTGTAGTTCAGTCTATCATCTTACATAGTTTTAAGTTACTCCTCCTATTTGGAAGCTTCCAGGTAACTAAGGATGAAATCTACAAATATGTTTTTATTCATAATGATGATGATGATGATGATGATGATGATGCTCCTGCTGTTTCAGTAAAACAGGCTGTACCTTTTTTAGTTCAGTGCCAAAGAACTACCAGCATGTTCTGGCCTTAGCATTTGCTGTCAAAGAGATCAATGAGAATCCCAACATCTTATCAAATATCTCTCTTGGCTTCAAAATCCTCAACAGCTACTACACTGCCAGGATGACCTATAAGGCCACCCTCAGCCTCTTTTCTGCACAACGTCACTTTGTCCCCAACTTCAAGTGTCACAACCACAACAATCTGATAGCTCTCATTGGAGGATGCATCTCTGAAATCTCTGCCAATGTGGCCATCATTTCAGACATCTACAAGACTCCACAGGTAAGCTGTGTGCATGAGTGTGTGGAGATTTCACAATTGTGACACACAATCTAGATGCCCACAAAGCTTTGAAAATGTTCCCTGATATATTTTCTTTAATGAACAGTTTAAATGTGGACTAAGTGTTAGCTTATCTAGCGAATACATAGCTCTTTAGAAAACAGTACTCACTGAGTGTTCAGCGATGGCTTAACATCAAATGGAGGGAGGTTAAATGGAGTCCCCCTAAAAACTATATTCTGGGACTGAACTGAAATTTTGAATCAATGACTCAGATGAAAGATTGGAAAGAATCTATATCAATGTGCAGCTGGTAAAAAAAGTGGAAGGGTTATTAACATTTCTAATGAATTGAACACAGTATTCCAAGTATGGCCTGGCCAAGGCAGAATAGTGATTACTAAGGCCAAGCATGGGTTTCTCAAAAATAAGTCATGCCAGACGAATCTCTCTTTTTTTATGGAGTTACAAGCTTAGTAGATCAGGAGAACACTGTAGACATAGTGTCTCGTGATTTTAGTTAGACTTTTGACAAAGTCCCCAATGATATTCTTGCAAGGATGGTTGTTAAAATTTGTGTGGAGCAAGATAACTGTTAAATAGATTTGTAGCTGGTTGACTGACCAAACCCAAAGAGGACTCATTAATGATTCCTTGTCATTCTGAAAGAAAGGGACAAGTGGGGTGCTGCAGGGTTCTGTCCTGGGCCTGTTGTTGTTCAACATCTTCATAAATGATTTGGATGAAGGAATTGAGGGGATGCTCATCAAATTTGCAGATGACACCAAACTGGGAGGGGTAGCTAATGTTGCAGAAGACTGAACTGTGATTCAAAATGACTGTAACAGGTTGGAGACCTGGGACCAAGCTTAAAAATGAATTTCAATTGGGACAAATGTAAGGTTCTGCACTTAGGCAGGAAGAACCAGCTGCAGCGGTATAAGATGTGGGACACCAAGCTTACTAGCAGTACATGTGAAAAGGATCCAGGGGTCCCATCTCAAGGACTGTCACATGGAAGATGGAGCAAGCTTGTTTTCTGCTGCTCCAGAGCGTAGGACCTGAACGCTGCAATTCTATGAGTCTAAGCAGGATGTTAAACATGACAACCTGCTGGATTCTCTGGAACATTATAATTAAAATTATCTTGTAATGCTTCTCAAAAATGGCCCTGCAACTCTGTGATTCACAGGTGTAGCATGATCTTCTCCATCTGAAAAAATATTCATGCATTTTATTTCAGCTTACTTATGGATCATTTCTGCCAGTACAAGGTGCCAAAAGGCTGTTCCCGTTTTTGTACCAGATGGTCCCAAATGAAGCCCACCAGCACAAGGGAGTGGTGTTGTTACTGCAGCATTTCAAATGGACATGGATTGGGCTCTTGGCTGTGGATGATGACAAAGGGGACAAGTTTTTACAGACAATTGTACCAATGCTTTCGCAGAATCATATTTGTTATGACTTCATAGTCAGAATCCCAAAATGGAATTATGTGGATGAAATGCTAGAATTAGGCATTGAAAGTCTGAGAAACTATGTAAGTGCCTTTCAGAGAAAAGCCAATGTAGTATTTATTTATGGAGAACCTCCTTCCTTTATGATTTTGAGAATTATGCTGTTGGGAATACCATTATATTATTCATCACCACCTCTGGGTAAAGTCTGGCTTGTTACATCCCACTGGGATTTTGCTTCACAATCTCTTCACAAACAGTTTGATATACAAACCTTTCATGGCTCCCTAACCTTCACTGTTCACTCAAACCAGCTGGTAGGATTCCAAAAGTTCCTTCAGATGATAAGACCTTCCTGGGCCCAAAGAGATGGTTTTATCCAGGACTTCTGGGAGCAATCCTTCAGCTGTTCATTAAAACTGCCTAAAGGACAGGAGGAAGAGGAGAAGACAAGCTGCACTGGGGAGGAGAAATTGGAAAGCATTCCTGGAATTTTATTTGAAATGAAAATGACAGGCCACAGCTACAATGTCTACAATGCTGTCTATGCTCTGACACATGCTTTGAATGCTATATACAAATCCATCACCAAACACAGAAGACTGGGAGGAGACAGACTGGCATTTCAGAATGTGCAGTCTTGGCAGGTAATTACAACTCTTTTTAAAAGTTTTTATTAATATTTTTCAAATTGATGCATTTCATTAATTTTACAGTCATTTAAACATTACAAAACTTGAATTCCTTCCCCCACTTTCTGCGCTTCCTTAAATTTATTTTTTAATATCTTCTGCATATCCAAATTCATTTAATTATCTACTTTAAATATATACTCTTATGAAACTGCAGGTTATTACAATAATCCTGCCAATGTTTTATCTGTTTGCAATTTATCTGTAAATATTCAATAAACCATTTCCATTCTTTTATAAGAAGTTAGCTTGATTTATTCTTCTTCTGGTAAGTTTCACTATATCTGCATAGTCCATAAGTTTTTGTATCCATTCTTCCTTTGCTAGGACTTCTGCTTCTTTGAATTTTGGGGCAAGTAGCATTCTGGCAGCTGTACATAAATACCGTATTTTTCGTCCCATAGGACGCTCCGTCCCATAGGACGCACCTAGTTTTTTTGGGGGGAAAATAAAGGAAATTCCCCCCCCTTTATTTCCCCCCCAAAAGCAGGTCGGGGAAACCGAACCAGGTCGAGGAACAGCAGGATGGCGGCGCTGCGCCTCCCTGCTGTCCCCCGAGCTTGTGGGGCTGGCCGATGCCTGCCCGGCGAGAGGGGCACTCTGCTTTAGGGTGCTCCGCCTGCCGGGCGGCAGGCTGCTATCCGCAGCGTGGGGAGCCCTGCAGGGACCTCCTGCAGGGCTCCCCACGCTGCGGATGTCTGCCCGGCGTGAGGGGCGCTCTGCTTCAGGGCGCCCTGCCCGCCGGGCGGCAGGCTGCTATTCGCAGCATGGGGAGCCCTGCAGGGAACTCCTGCAGGGCTCCCCACGCTGCGGATGTCTGCCCGGCGCGAGGGGCGCTCTGCTTTAGGGTGCCCTGCCCGCCGGGTGGCAGGCTGCTATCCGCAGCATGGGGAGCCATGCGGGGACCTCCTGCAGGGCTCCCCATGCTGCGGATGTCTGTCTGGCGCAAGGGGTGCTCTGCTTGAGTGCGCCCCGCCCACCGGGTGGCAGGCTGCTTTCCGCAGCCTAGACATCCCTGCGGGAGTCCCGCAGGGTTGCCTAGGCTGCGGATGTGTTCCCGAAGTGCCGGGCGCTCTGCTTTCAGGGCGCCCGACGCTCTGGGAAGCAGGCTGCTATCCGCAGCCTAGACATCCCTGCGGGACCTCCTGCAGGGCTGCCTAGGCTGCGGATGTCTTCTTGAAGCCTGGAGAGCGAGAGGGGTCGGTGCACACCAACCCCTCTCGCTCTCCAAGCTTCAGCGAAAGCATGCATTCGCCCCATAGGACGCACCCAGATTTCCCCTTCATTTTTGGAGGGGAAAAAGTGCGTCCTATAGGGCGAAAAATACGGTAAATAAATTTCTATACAATTTAGGTAGTTCTGTCCTATAATTCCCAAAAGAAAAGCTTCTGGTTTCATGAACTTTCACCTTTTTGTATCATAAATAAGCGTGCCAGCCAAAAAATATTATCATGACCTTCTAAGTGTAAAATATGTGAATTCTCTAACCTCATCCTTTCCTTCAACCAACAAAGACAGGTTGCCTCATAATATAATCTCATATCTGGTAGGGGGACACCTCCTCTTTCTTTTGCACCTATCAATATTTTATATTTTATTCTTGGGTTTTTCTCTTGCCAAATATATTTAGAAATATCTTTTTGCCATGCTTTGAAGCAATCTGTCCTGCCAATCTCCGGAATAATTTGAAACAGAAATAACATTCTTGGCAACACATTCATCTTTATAGTCAACATTTTACCTAATAATGAAAGATTCATTCTGTCCCAAATTTGCAAATTTCTTTTAATATCTTCCCAGGTTTTTAGATAATTGTCTTTATATAAATTTTCTATTATTTGCTGTTATCCATATACCTAAATATTTAACCTTTCTTTCAATTTTTAAACCAGATACATCTTGTAATTTGTTTTTACTCTCCTCCTTCATATTTTTAACCAAAAATTGTTTTTTTCTTTATTAAGATTTATTATATTTATTATATTTATCTTAAGACCTGCTACCTCACCAAATGTTGTTATCTCTGCTAATACTTTGGGGGTTGACTCTATTGGTTCATCTACAGATATCACCACGTCATCTGCAAATGCTTTTAATTTATATTGTCTCTGTTCCACTCTTACACCTTTAATATCTTGATTACAACTTATTATTTGTGCTAATACTTCTAAAACTATTATAAACAACAAAGGTTGTTGTTTGTTTGTTTGTTGTTTATAATAGGTAATTACAACTCAAAACTTTTTTTTTTAAACCATGCTAAATTTTGTTCCAAAGTCACTCTAGTTTTGCAGAATCCAATTCCATTTAAAATGAACGAATGTGTGGGGCTTTCTTTTATGTTTCGTTTTCAACTAAAGGAACCAAAATGATATCAAGGCATATCAAGTCACCATGTTTTTAAAATAAAAAATGAGTATGAGAGGCATTTGTGAACCTCACTTAAATCATTGCAATACCTTGATCCCCTTGTTCATATTTTCGTTCTATCTAGGTGCATCAGTTTCTAAAGAGTATGGTAATCAATAATAGTGCTGGAGACACAGTGCACTTTGATGAAAATGGTGAACAAGTTACTGGATTTGATGTTACAAACTGGGTGATGTTCCCCAATGGCTCTGTGGTTCGAGTCAAAGTTGGAGGACTGGAACCTCAGGCTCCTCTGGGCAAAGAATTAACCATTCATGATGACCTGATTGTTTGGCATCCAAGATTTAATCAGGTGCGACACAGCTACAAATACTTGTGTATATAAAAGGGGGGAAAACCCATTTTTTAAATCAGTTTATCATTTGACATGCTGTTCAGCTTCTGAATGATTCTAGTTAGCATTATATATATATAGCAGCTCCTTCCCTTCTAAGTAAAAGAATATAAATTGTTTGGCAGCTAAACAGGTGAGCCATAACTGCAAACACTTCCATATATGAAATGAAAAGGACCGCTTGCTGTTCTCTGAGCTGGGGACGAACCTCTGGCCTCAAGCGACTCTTGGGGGATGATTCTCTCTCCTCCTCCAGCCTCAGGGGTTGCTGGGGGCTTAGTTTGCAAACATCTTGTAAGGTATTTCCAAATTCTGGACATGATGACAATAATGCATTTTTAATGGTCAGTCTCACCAAACCAATGAAACAAATTTGTGGAAGCTGATTCAGATCTGATCCTTGCTTACTCTTCATTTAACCCTGCCCCTCTTGGGGCCGCCTGGTTCCTGTTGCTCCATTGGTGAAGCCAGCTCAGTTCTAAGTGAATGAGAGAGACTCAAGAAGTGCTCTTTTCAACCTCCCATTTTTTAAAAAAATGTGGTTAGGTTTCAAGAGGGCATAACTCTAACCATTGATTTTGAATGTTGTTACAGTTTTCCAATCATATTTGGAAAAAAGAAAGTTGGTTCCATCAGAGAAAAATTAGCCACCGCCTCCATTTGTTTTCCCCTCCCAAAGCCCTTCTGGTTGAATAATATATGACATTAAAAACCAAGAGAAAATTAGGTAAACTTCATGCACAGGATTAAAAATAATTCAGTATCAAGCATAAAATAGCAGAGAATCAACTGAAAAAAATGTGATACATGATATGTAAAATAATATATTCCTTCTGAAGCAAGGTAGTCTATCTAATGTCTACTGAATGCAGTTTCAACCCTGGTGAGGCTCATCCTCAAGCCTACCGAGTGGCAGTGAAGGCAGCCAAGAAGGCATCCTTGCTCCCAGGAGGTGGAGGTGGAGTGGCAGAGCTGAGCCCTTGGCTTCTTCTTTAGTCTCCCTTTCATGTGATACAGAAGAAGGCATCTCTCTTATTCCTCATCTCCCTGTTTCTGCACAGGTGCTGCCTGTTTCTCTGTGCAATGACTACTGCTATCCTGGCTACAGCAAGAAAAAGAAGGAGGGAGAGAAATTCTGCTGCTATGATTGTGTTCAGTGTCCACAAGGGATGATCTCCAACCAGGAGGGTAGGAAGCTATATGTACATAGATATTAATAATTTTTGATAATGTAGCATAGTAATTATTTATTTGAAGAGTATATCTTACACTGAATTGCTGTCCATTGTGCCTTACCATCACACAGAGAAACATTTAGCTATTACAAAGCATGAACTCAAACATGAACACGTGAACACAGAAAGATTCGTTCTCACTACTGGGAATGCTTTTCTTGAAGTAGTTAAAAGAATTTCAGGAAGGTAGAAAATGAATCTGACTCTTCTAATGTACTGTTCAGGTAATAATTGGTAAATGTCTAGAAATAACCAGCTTTTCATTCCTCCCCTCAGATATGGAAGCTTGTATCAATTGTCCAGAAGACCAGTATCCCAGCAAGGACCACAGTCAATGTATTCCCAAAGTTCTAAGCTACCTCTCTTACAAAGAAAATTTAGGGATTATCTTGGCTATCTTGGCCATTTCTTTCTCTTTCATCACAATTTTAGTGCTGGGAAGTTTTGTGAAACTCAGGAACACGCCCATCGTCAAGGCCAACAACCGGACCCTCACTTACACTCTCCTCATCTCCCTTCTTGTTTGCTTCCTCTGTGCTTTGCTCTTCATTGGGCAGCCAGGAAAAGGGATCTGCCTTCTACGCCAAATGGTCTTTGGCATTGTCTTCTCTGTGGCTCTTTCCTGCGTATTGGCAAAAACCATCACCGTGGTTCTGGCATTCATGGCAACCAAGCCAGGATCTGGGATGAGGAAATGGGTGGGGAAAAGACTGACCATTTCAATTGTCCTCTCCTCCACCTTCATTCAAGCTGCCATTTGTGCTCTGTGGTTAAGTACTTCCCCTCCATTCCCAGATAGGGACATGCAATCCTTGAATGGGAAGATCATATTGGAATGCAATGAGGGTTCATCTACCATGTTTTACTGTGTCTTGGGCTATATGGGTTCCCTGGCCATAATCAGCTTCATTGTGGCTTTTCTGGCCAGGAAATTACCTGATAGTTTCAATGAAGCCAAATTTATCACTTTCAGCATGCTGGTGTTTTGTAGTGTTTGGTTGTCCTTTGTTCCAACCTACCTGAGCACCAAAGGGAAATACTTGGTGGCTGTGGAGATCTTCTCCATCTTATGCTCTAGCGCTGGCTTACTGGGCTGCATCTTTTCCCCCAAATGTTACATACTTTTGTTGAGGCCTGATCTGAACAACAGAGAGCAAATAATGGCCAGAAAAAGCGAGAAAATGTAAGTTCATCTCCATGTTATGCTCACTTAGAAAATTCACTGGAAGTCCATATCATGATATTTTAAAATATTAGTGCTTTAATAAAAAGAAGTCCTTGCTCAAACGTATTGTCAGAGCTGCCTCAGGTCCCAGCTCACAAAGGACCAACGCCAGTTGCTCTTTATATACAAAAGTCTTTATTGAAGTTCAGTTTCGCTTTCACAGCTGCAGCGTGCAGCTCTAGGTCTGAATCCCTAGACCGGCGAAGCTCCGTCTGACTCTTCCCCTCCCCTACACCAGCTTAAGACCCGAGCTTTGCTCCACCTCTTCCTTTGCTCTTTCCTCCTCTGGGTCCGCCTGCCAGCTGGGGTTTCCTCCTTCCTGGACTCCTCCGAAGCAGATTCTCCTCCCTCTTCCCCCCGTTTCCGGCGGGCTTTAGGACCTGGCTCCCAGTCCATATTGCCTGCTGTTCCGCGCGCCTGCACATTTGAACTTGGCGCGCGCGCCCAGCCGGCCACTTTCCTCCTAACGGCTACACTGCTCCTGTCACTGCTTCCCCCTTCGGGGGGGCTGGGTGGAACTGACCTCCCCTCCGCTCCCCCACTCTCCGACGGAGGCGTGGTCAGTCCTGACTCACTCTCTCTCCCTGCTGGAGAAAACGCTGGTCCTGATCTGTGGGCCTCTTCCCCCCCGCTACGCTCTGGTGGGGAAGCTGGCCCTGATTTCCAGCTGCCGCTTTGAGGCTCGCTGCTGGCCCCCCTTGTCCTGCCCCTGGGCGCCTCCTTCTGGGAATCTTCTGATTCGCTGGAGAGACTCATGGAATCTCCCGGGTCACTGTCATACCCTCCTATGCTCCCCTCAGATCCTTCCCCTTCACTCTCCATCTCCTCTTTCCCCTGTGGCTCTGTCCCTGAGCCCCTGACACGTATCCTTCTGAGTATAGTTGTACTAGACACACATTAGGTCAATGCCCTATTTTGAATTGACTTACATACACCCACATGCAGACAATTCCAACAAGACAGAAAAGTGGGACTCATCTAAAGAAACCAGTGGGGTTGCATAAGGAACTTACAGAAGAGCTGAGAGTTAAAGAAGGGCATGCATAAGAAATGGAAGAAAGGGGGAATCACAAAGGAGGAGTATACATGAGTAGCCAATGGTTGCAGAGTGAAGGTCAGGCTGGCTAAAGCTCAGAATGAGCTCAGGCTTACAAGAGAGGTTAAAAATAATTTTTAAAATGTTTTTTTGTCCATGTCCGAAGTAAGACGAAGAACAAGCAAGTGGCAGGTCTTCTGCGGGAAAAGACAGAGAAATGCTATTGGGTGACAAACACCTACTTTGCCTCTGTCTTTGCCCAAAAGGAAAGTGATGCCCTACCTGGTGATGACACAATAAGTGATGCAAGGAGGGAGCTGCAACCCAAGATAGGAAAAGGGGTGGTAAGGGAACACCTAGATACTTTAAATGAATTCAAATCTCCAGGGCCTGATGAGCTGCATCCAAGGGTACTAAAGGAGTTTGTGGGTGTAACCTCAGAGCCTCTGGCTATAATCTTTGGGAATTCTTGGAGAACAGACTGGAAGTGGGCAAGTGTTCCCATCTTAAAAAAAAAGAAAAGAAAAGAAAAGAAAAGAAAAAAGAAAAAAGGAGGGGGAGCAAAGACTCAGCAACTACCAACCAGTGAACTTAACATCAATACCAGGAAAGGTCCTAGAACAGATAATTCAACAGTTGGTCTGTGAGCACTTGGAAAAGGATGCTATGATTACTAAGACCCAGGAGGGGTTTCTCAAAAACAGGTCATGCCAGAAGAATCTCATTTCTTTCTTTTTTAAAAAAAGCTTGGGGATCAGGGGGATGCTGTGGTCATTTTGTTGTTGTTGTTTAGTCGTTTAGTCGTGTCCGACTCTTCGTGACCCCATGGACCAGAGCACGCCAGGCACCTCTGTCCTCCACTACCTCCCGCAGTTTGGTCAAACTCATGCTGGTAACCTCGAAAACACTATCCAACCATCGAATGTGGTAACTTTTAGGTGGATTGTAGCTGGTTGACTGACCAAACCCAAAGAGTACTCACTAAGGGTTCCTGGAAAAAGACAAGAAGTGTTCTCCAAAACACATTGAAGGGGAAAGGACAGCCTCAGAACAATATTTCTCCCCTGCAACCTACCCCAGAGAGTTGCCCTCTGTTGAAGAATAGTGGTGGAAATAAACTTTAAGCTGCTTTGAAGCCACCATGTCACTGCTTTCCTTTAGAGGGATATGGAACACAAGGCTGGGATGTATAGGAGAATAATGAATTTGCAGTCCTTAGCTTGGTTCCTACCCTGTAAGGAACAGACTGCAAATGGAGTGAAAGTAGAAGCATAGAAAGGAGGAAAGGGGGCATATTTCAAGGGATACAGCCCATAAATTCTCCCCAAAACACCTCCCTCCATGGAAGCAGAAAGAAGATCCTTTCATCCAAAAGAGGATAAAACCACCCCCAGAAGCCCCCAGTAAGTTCTCCATGAAAAGACGTCTGGGATGACCCAAGCCCCAAAATTCTAACAGTCCAAGCTGCATAGCTGCACAGCCACATTGTGCTCCATAAAGGAAAGGGTGGTCCCTCCCTCGACACCCCCACCAGCTAAAAATGGCAGAAATTTGTTCCTTCTTGAACACAGAAATGTAGGAGTCACCCGAAGAAGGGGCCAAGATGGACATACCTCTCCCCACTCACCAAATAAGATGTGAGATGCCCTCCTTCTTATCTATATGAAACCACTGGGGTACCTTAGCAGCGGGTTGGGGCTGAGTGTTCATCAATATTCAGATGATACTCAGCTCTACCTCTTGTTTAAATTGGAACCAGTAATGGCAGTGAAGGTCCTGTGTGAATGTCTGGAAGCAGTTGGAGGGTGGGGCTGGTTAATGGATTGAAACTGAATCCCAACAAGACAGAAGTACTGTTTCTGGGAGACAGGGGACGAGCAGGTGTGGGGAAACTGTGCCCCTAAAAAACCAGGCACACAGTGTGGGGGTCATTTTGGATTTACAGCTGTCCATGGAGGCGCAGGTCAACTCTGCGTCCAGGGTGACTGTCTACCAACTCCATCTGGTATGCCAGCTGAAACTCTACCTTCCTGGCCACTGTCTCGTCAGAGTATTACATGTTCTGGTTTTCTCACATTTGGGCTAAAAGATCTACAATGACTCCCAGTACATTTCCCAGGACAATTCAAAGTGTTGGGGTTGATATTTAAAGTCCCCCACAGCTTCGGCCCTGTGTACCTGAAGGAGTGTCCCCACCCCTTGGTCAGCCCATACACTGAGGCCCAGCTCTGAGAGCCTTCTGGTGCTTCCCTCACAGTGAGATTACAGGGAACCAGGCAGAAGGTTTGTGGAACTATATAAATTTTCATCTGAAGGCAGCCGTATCCTGGGAAACTTTTAATGTGTGAACACAGTCATAGTATTGTGGTTCGAGGACCCGACCCCGGTGAAATGAAATGAAGACACAAGGACACGTGATATAAGGTTAATGGGCTAGGAAAAGGCCACAACTTTATTGGTTACAGCATTTAAAAGGTATTGGCTTAGGCATTGGATCGAAACAAGTGGGTTCTTCACCAGTAGGTGGAGCCTGTCGATGCCAATCCGACTATAGGCTCACCCCTGCTGTCACCGAGGGTCGTGCCAAGGCCTCCCGCCAAGCAGGCATCGGACGGAATACACGACCCCCAGATTCCTTTAACGGAATACCCCTAAAAATTGAAGGCATAGGCGATGGCCACACCTAGCACTTCCACACAGCGCAACACATTATTCCAATGCCTAACCGCCACCCGAGCTAAAGGCTCGCCGCCAATACCCTCAAAGCTGCAACCAATCCCAGATGTTTTTAATGACACTAGCTAACCAGAAGTCATTCCCAAGATCTGATAGGTGGACACCGTCATCCCGGTATAAAGCTTTGTCGCTAATCCGGATACGGTCATGGTAAATCACTCGGCCATCCATAAAGCGCACCCAACGGGCTACCGCCCGATTTACGAGTTTCCTGGTTCTTTCAATGGCCATACAGTCTTGCGCACCGCGCCACACAGTTCTCTTCAAGAAGGAGGACCAGCACACTGTCGTTCTGGGACACAGGGCTGCAAATGCATTCAAGTCTCTTTTTATGCTTGACAACAAGTCCACACTCCTTTTGTTGCCCAGGTCATTCTCCCCTAAATGAATCACCAGGATGTCGGGAGAGCCGAACTTGGCTATTTTCTCCCGCAGCAAAGGCATCAGTTCTTCCCAACGCATGCCTCTTCTCGAAAACCAGGAAACTCGAACATCACGTGGCAGACCGAGATTGGGTGCCAGGCCGCAGCTCACCGCTCGCACGCGGGCCCAATGAACAATGCTGTGACCGCAAATCCACACGATTCTTCCGGGCATAGCTGGGAATAAAGATAGAACAAAAGGAAGGGTAAGCAGACTAAGGGGTAGGCGCCAGGTTGCGAATATATGACTTATAAACATTGGATTTCCACCGGCCCAACTCTTTTATCCTTTCTGCCGGCAACCCCAGGTGCGCGGCCGTGGTGGCGGCCCCGATCCTGAACGAATGTGCAGCGTACTCATGGGGGGTAGGCCACAAGCCTCAATAGCCTTGCGCATTACTCTAGTGAATTGGTACCTCAACAGGGGCGACCCATCCTCGTGTATCAGGAACGGTCCCGGGCCGGCTGGTCTAAGGCGGAGATACCGCCTCGTGTCCTTCACCGGACATGGGCCCTGCTGGGCCAACGCCGTGAGCTTAAGCAGGACACCCTTGCCTGTCTGATCGGTCTTGGACTGACGCACTAGTACTGACACAGCAGATTCGGATAGCTGTACATCCTCACACAGGAGGCCGCGAGTTGAACCCCGCGCACTAGCTTCACACACAACCTCACCAACTCTGAGCGCACCAAAAAAGGCTATAGCGTAAGCCGCAGAGAAGAGCCGTGCCTCAAACTTAGACCAACAAATTGTCCTGAGCTTTACGCGTATCTGAGATAGCAATCCATACGAAATAGGCTTACGCCCCACGGTCCTGGGCGGTTGCAACCTGCCCCAACCTTCAATGGCTCTACGGATCAGAAAATCGCTACATGGGTCTTGCGCAAACGTCGCCTTTGAAAAGAAGCTGATGGCTGCTACGTGGATCTTTAAGGTTTTCGTAGCACGTCCAAGGTCATCCAGATGGGACAGGTACTGCAGGACGTCATCAGTGGTGGGGGGGGTGCTATGTGACAGCCCAGACAACCCAAACCTGAAACCCAGGAAATCACACCAGGCCTTCCTATAGGACCTGAGCGTGGAAGGTGCCACGGACGCTAATACTCCCTGTATCACTTTGCGTCTCCAACGTTCCACAGGTACTCCGGAAAGGGTTCGGGCAACAGTTGTGCTCCAGGTGCGAGCGACCGGAAACGAGGAATCTGGAATCGAGACAGGGCGTCGGCTATATCATTATTGGCGCCTGGTACGAATTTGGCTGAAAATAAGATATTGTACTCAAGGCAACGGAGGACAAACGCCCGCAGGAGGGAGGAGACCCTCGCAGACCGAGATGACTGCCTGGCAAGAATGTTCACCACAGCCAGGTTGTCGGTCCTGAAGCACACTCGGTGATCTCGGAACTCCTCCGTCCAGATGTGCACGGCCACTACTATTGGAAAGAACTCGAGAAAGGTGAGATCCCGCGTGATGGCCTGACCCTGCCATGCTGAGGGCCAGCGTTGTGCGCACCAGCGCCCTTTGAAATACAAACCGAAACCTAAAGACCCTGCTGCGTCCGATTGAACCTGAAAGTCGGATGATAGATTCAAAACATCCTGCCAAAGAGAGACCCCGTTATATTTTTCCAAAAAGGCTGTCCAGACCTCGAGATCTGCTTTGACCGACCTGGGGAGGCGAACCCTGTGGAGGGGGTGTTTCAGACCGACTGACAATCTAGCAAGGCGAGCACAGAAGGGGCGTCCGGGGGACACCACCCTGCACGCGAAGTTAAAGTGGCCCAATAAAGATTGAATTTGCCTAAGGGTGATCTTCCTAAGCTTGAGAGTGTCCTGAATTAGCTGTTTAAGGGCTTCAATCTTTTCACCAGGTAAGCGGGATGACTGGGCCACTGTATCCAGCTCAATGCCAAGGTAAGTTAAGCGTGTGGCTGGTCCCTCCGTTTTCTCCGCCGCAAGAGGGACCCCAAGGTCCTCGGCCAGGACTGAGAAGGCCTCCAGCAAGGAGGCGCACTCCCCCGTGTTGGCTCCGCCCACGAAAAGGAAATCGTCCAGGTAATGCGTGACCCCAACGGTATTTGCCCTGAAACGCAGGGCCCAGTCCAAGAACGTGCTGAAGGCTTCGAATGCCGCACAGGCAACAGCACAGCCCATTGGCATGGCCCTGTCAACATAGTATTTTCCCTGAAATTTAAAACCCAGCAACCGGAAATCAGCGGGATGTACTGGCAAGAGGCGGAAGGCCGATTCGATATCACACTTTGCCAACAACGCCCCGGGGCCGAAACTGCGGATCAACTTAACTGCCTGATCGAAGGTGGCGTATTTCACTGTGCATAACTCAGGCGGGATGGCATCGTTGACCGAGCCGCCCTTTGGGAAGGACAGATTATGAATGAGCCTGAATTCACCAGGGGTCTTCTTTGGCACAATGCCTAGCGGAGATATGTGCAAATTTGGTATGGGGGGGCTATCGAAGGGGCCTGCAACCCTGCCAGCGCTGACCTCCTTAGCTATCTTCCTTTCAGCAACTTCCGGTCTCTCTCTAACTGATTTTTGATTGGGTGAATCTTTCGCGATTAATGAACCCGCTATGGGAATACGAAACCCACTGGAAAAACCTTCCCTGAGGTAGGAAGCTGCATCCTTATCCGGGTAAAGAGACAGAAGATTGCGAAGGGGGACGAGCTTGATAGGGGAAAAGGCCAATCCCAAGACTACCTCACCGTCTGTTCCCTGCTGCGGGGGCCCCCCTGGAACTGGGATGATGGGACCCCCGGCCTCCACGAAAGGGCTGCTTCCCCCCTCTTAAGCAGGATGTAACAGGGTGGCCCCCGGCGCATCTTTCACATTCATGTGTGAATTTACAAGATGGCCTTTGGCAAAACCCTTTGTTGTACTCCCAGCACACCCGACGCTTAAAATCTTTCCTTTGGTCACTTCTAGCCGACCGATACGAGTCGACTGGCCTCTTTTCTACGTACGGACCAACAGCCACGGACCATATTCCATTCTCAATCTGATCCCAGCGAGCTAAAGGAATTCTGGACGCCTTCCTTCTGAATTTTTTGTCATAGCTTATGGCCGCCGCCTCCCCCGAAAGGGCACAGGCCGTGCGAATATGTGAAAGGTAGGCGACAAGGTGAACCGCCCTCTTGGGGTAGGCAGCGACAATCGTCCCCATAAAGGCTTGAAAACCATCAAGCCAATTTTCAAACGTCCTAGGCACAGAAGGGTATTTGCTCTTTCTCTTGCCATGCGAGGGCCTCTTTTCACCCCTGCCTAACTCCTCTGCTGGGGGCACTAATTTAAACATGTCAACAAACTCACCATTTAAGATTTTTGCTCGTAGTTTAGGAGATAGATGTTCACCTGGTATAACATCCGAGGTTGAGTAGGTGGATGAGGTGGCGTCTTTTACCAGAGCCCCATCCTTCCACTCCTGGCTCCCCCCAAACTTTTTACGATGGCTATTGGCCCTCCTCGACAGAGCCCAGTCTGGAAGACCAGATATTTCCTCGCCCTTCCCCCAATAGGAACCTAGCGACGCGTCGCTATCGTACTCTGACGAAGAAGTACCTGTATCATCATCCGAGTCGTCCCTCCGAGACCTGCTCTTCCTACATGTATGCTTCTTCTTTTCGCGCCTCTTACCCGAAGGCTTCTCCGCGATCGCAGCGGTGGCGGCGCCCTCTTCCTCCTGTTGTACGTCTTCAGCTGCCGACGAAGCCTCAGAATCTGGCGACTGGGCTCTGGGCCGCTTGTCCTGCGAGCGATTAGACGAACTGGGGGCAGCAGAATTATTATTGCGAGTAGACTTAGAAGTAGACTTAGAAGTCGCTTTCCCCCCCCCGCGCCCGAGACCCAGATGTCGAAGCCCTTGACTGAGACCTAGTCCGCACCGATTGTGTATCATTAAAGAGGGCGGCCGATGTACTTGGCATTTCGTCCCATTGGGAAGACTGAGAACTCTCTGGGAACTCCTGGGTATCTGGGATGACATCAGGGGAAGAGGGGGGACTGGGGTTCGCGTCCGGGAATCGTTGTGCGTATTCATCTATGAAAGATCTAAAAGCATTCAGGAGGTGGGAGACGGGAGGCCTTGTATTATTACCCCTGCCCTGTCGACCCCGTGATGCGCTCTCTGCTGAGCTACGTGTGGCCACAGGCGCGCGCTTCCTCTTGGGAGCCATAAGGTGTGCCTTGTACACTACAAAAGCCTCAGTATTTGTTAGTGCGTATGTGTGTACGTGTGAGTGTCTGTGTATTAATTAATTAATTAATTAATTTATTATTATTATTATTATTATTGTATATGTATATAAATCTATATGTTGTTGTTATTATTATTATTATTGTGTATATATCACGTTATTCAATTTATTAATTTTTTTATTTATTTATTTATTTATTTATTTATTTATTTATTATGTATTATCTATATATCTGTTTATAGTTTTCTATTTATTATTTATCAATTTCTTATTTGTCTTCTCTTACTATACAGTCTCTTTAATATTTCCCAGTATGGTTATGCTAAATAACCAAATCAAAAACAAGCCAATAAATTCTCAATTAATCCCAGCCTTGTGATTATTATTGCTAATAAAATAAATTTACTCTATGAATTTTGTCTGTGCTACCAGCTGGCAGTGGCTCAATGGGCTGGTAACCACCGTATTGTCACTAGGCAGAAACTCAGGTATATAACTCCCCCTTTTATGTTAGCCAGATGAGGGCAGCAGCTAGGAGAAAAGCCGCTCCCACTAAACTCCAATTAATAAAGCCAAGACCGCTGCCAAGGTTCACTTCCAAAGACAATAAGAACAATAGAACAAAAGAACAAAAGAGCAATAGCTAGCAATCTACTGCCTGCCAGGCACTATAGCCTTGTTATTATTATTGTTAATAGAATAAATATCTTTACTAATTTGTCTGTGCTACCAGTACCTAGTGGCACAGTGAAATGGTAAACACTGTAAAGTGACTAGGCAGTAAAGCAAATATGACTTCCCCTTTGAATGCTGGCCGGGTGAGGGCAGGGACCGCTGCCAAGCTTCCTACTTAATACAAAAGAACAATAGCTCAGCAATCCTCAGCCTGCCTCAGGTAAGATAAGCTGGCAAAGTTCCCTGAAAATGTGCCTCTGGGAACAATAGGCTTAATTACCGCTCATCAGCCGCCTAATTGTTCTGCTGGCAGACAACACAATGGCGTTTCTATGGCAACATCACACGCTAGCCGACAATAACAGCTGTTCTTTAGCAAGGGCGTTCCTATGGCAACCCCCAAGAGAATCCCCAGGCAGACCAGGAAATAAGCCTTTTAAAATGACGACAGCGTGGGGGAGGGTGGAAAGGTCCCAGAACACAAGGTAGAATAAGACTAGCCGAACTTGGGGACACCCAGGAACAATAAACAATTTATCACCCTTAAACTGGGCAAAAGGCTCGCCCACCAAAGAGAAGAGGGGAAAGAGAAGCAATGAACTTGCAGGGTGGCAAATTCCAAAGACAAAGGGAGCCGAGGCTACAGCAAAGACAGAGGCCCCAGCAACACCGGAAAACTATTCCCTTTTAAACCAAGAACCAAGAATAACACCGAAAAACTATTCCCTTTAAACCAAGGACAAAGGGGGGAGGCAAAGGAATCGTGGGGCTGGTGAGCACGTGAAGGGAACAATTGACTCCGCCGGTCTCAGTAAATAAAGCAGTGGTTCACCCAGGCTAAACTGAAGCTCAACTACGGCCGGCGAAGCTACTATTCAAAAGCAAAGGAACCGGCTGGCCACGTGGGGGGGGGGTGAATGAAGGCAGAATCGGCAGAACAGACTGGATGGTTGCGGACAGGTTCCCACACACCCACCTGGGACCCGAGAAAATAAGGACCACGAAGAAAGGCAGGAGCGGGGCTCCAAGCTAGCAGGCAAGCAGCGCCGAGAACACACGCGCACCCACACGCACGCACACGGTATCAAAGGAGATGAGGCAGCCGGATTAAGCAGCTCTTCCGAGAAGCACGTGGGTGGCTGCCCAAAATACGCAGGAGGCGCCTACTTAACTAAGGGCAACAATATGCGTGAGTCAGCCGTTAAACCGTCAGCCGTTAGGTGGCTGATAGCAGGGAGCGGGGTAGTTCCGGAAAGCCCTAAACCGTTTAAAATGCAAACCGCTAATGAAGCGGTAAATAGCACAAGCCCAGGCGGCACCAAGGAGGCAGCGCCCACGTGGTCTGCAGCCCCAAGAGGGAAAATACAACCAAGTTAGAAGCGCCCGTCAGCTGATGGGCGGCTGAACGCAGCCAACAACGAAAAGGCAGCGCTCAGAAGGGCTGTAGCCCGGAATAAAGCCACACGGGGAAAGGCAGAAGCAAGCGTCAGCTGTTGAGCGGCGGGAAGTGGAGGAATTTAAATTGTGAGTTGCAAAGGCGGCAGCTGCCGGATGGTTCAGATTGCCGCTGCTGGGTCGCTGGGAAGGCACAGGGAACACCAAGCCGAACAAATATAGGAAAGCTACACGGGGTTCAGCACCCACCACCCACGCGCTCAGCTTAACCGCGAAAATAAAGAAGCGACGCAAATACTTCCCTGGCTTCCGATGCAGCAGGCTCCAAAGCAGCTGACTCGCGAGGGGCGAAGGAAGGAAGAATGAGGCCGGGGGAAGGCTGGCGCTGCAGCAAAATGCTGCTGGACACGCCCCCACCGTGGCCCCCGGTTGGATGGCCACCGAGGAGGCGTGAGCGCCAGCCAGGTGAGTGGGCAGCAGGGGGCCCCGCCCCCTGCTAGCCGGAGCTCGAGCCCCGACCACAACCCCTCCCCTCCCCTTCGGGGAGGAGAGTCTTTGTAAAGCTGGATGGGACACCAAGGGACATCCAGTCTTACCCCCTACAATGCAGGAAACCTTCCCACAGCCATCCCTGGGTAGGGTTGAAGTAACAAATTTCTGGTTAACAGCCAGATGCACTGACCCATTTCATGTTGTTGTTGTTCCTGTTACGATATAGAAACAATGCTGCTGCGAGCTGCTTGCTTGAAAACATCACATGATGTTGGGACTGTCCGTGGGAAACAGAGGGCACCGGAATTAGCTCAGAGTGTAATATGAGCTGTACAGGAAGTGTTTGCTCTCTCGACTGCTGGAGTTTGAAGAGAGCAGTCATGTTTTTTTGTAACGCTGCAAAGACAGAAATAAAGGCATGTAAATACATTTCTGTCTATCTCTTTCCCCTGCCAGGGGGGCAACAAAGAGGGGGGTGTTCTTCTCACGCTGAGAAGGATCGCCTATCGCGACCTCTGCCTGGATCCTGCCGCGAAAGCAGACAGGGAGGTCAACAGGAGACCAAGCCGGGTGCCTGGGAGAGTTGCCAGTTTCTCCTGATAAAGGCTTGAATCTCAACAGTTCCCTGTATTTTTGCTGGAAGCCACCCAGAGTGGTTGGGTAGGGTATAAGAAACACACATGATGATGATGATGATGATTCTGTATTATTTTTGGTATTGACATTTCTATCCCCTGAAAGGTGTCCATGGCACCAAAACATAATGCAATTATGAAATAAAAGAGTGAGAATATAGGAAGAGCTTGGCTGCTGGATTAGACCAATGACTCATCATTAACCCACACCCTGGTCTCACAGGGACCAGCCAAATGCCTCAGCTGAAAGCCCTGGCTGGACCGAAGCGCAGCAGCATTTCCCCCTGTGGAGGCAGAGCATGGGCGTCATGGCTAGCAGCATGTTAAAGATTTAAGCCCTCCCAGTCTCTTGAAAAAGCGGGATCAGCCCCATTGGGACCCTCCTGCCCTAACTGTCTGTTTTGCTGCTATGAGGTACAGGCTGTTAGACTAGTTGGGTCTTTGGTCTGATCCAGCTGCAGGGCTCTCATTAGGTCTGTGTGAGAAAAGTTCAGGCCAAACTCCCCCCCCCCATAACTAACACACACACACACACACACACACATTGAGTTATGCCACATATATGAGAAACATGTTTTTCTCCAGCTCTGCACCTGCGTCTTCAGCCATTCAAAACTCCAGAAAGTTATTGTGGTGAAACTTCTTCCACTTGTAATTATCAAAATCATAGTGATTTCTTCTTTTAAAAGCTCCAGAGATATTTCTGGAGATTGCATAAGCATCAGAAACAACAACAACATGATATTAATGACACCATGACAGTGAAAGAAAACATTGCTGAAGAGGATATTTCCTGTGTCGGAGACAGACTGAGCCATGATTTAGTGCAAGCGAAAGGCTGGGGAAAGAGGAATATATGTGTAAGATGCAAAGCCAGAATGAGAACCCTGCTGCTTCTGCTGCTGCTGCTGCTTCTGCTGCTAATGCTGTACTCTGTAGTCTGCAGGAACCAGAAGGCAAAATGCCCCTTGAATCTGGTCAGGGATCAGACTGATGCTTGCAGCTATTACCGGGCTGGCGACTTTCTCATTAGTGGCATTGTATCTTCAAAACATTTTGTTAATCAAGATGCATATGTCTTTTCCAAGACACCCTTCACCAGCACTGAGAAGTATGTCATCCTGTACAGAGGGATGTCACGCTTACCAGTACTTCTGCCGTGGTTCCTACTTATCAAGGAAATAGCCCTTATTTCAGAGTTGGGGGGGCTGGGGGCCCTACTGATGTCACTGGACTAAAACCCCCATCATCCCTGACCATTGGCCCTACTGGCTGGGCTTCATGGGATTTGGAAGCTGGGAAAAGAGTCTCCTCAAAACCTCTCCTATTTCCTTGTTCCCTGGGTCTTCCCTAGGAAAATACTCTACTCATGCTGCTGTGTTGCATTTTGAAGGTGGTAAAACAATAATGTAAATGAATCTGGTCTGGAATCAAAAGAATGCACTGAATTATCCCACCTGCGGGGTGGCACAAAACTCAAGCAGTCACCAAGCTGCAATGATTTTATTTATTATTATTCTATTTGGACAATTT